TAATTTCTCTATGGACAGAAATGGAGAGAGGGCAAATGGATAGCAGGCAAAGGACTGACCAGGTATCTATCTTTTCCTCTTTCTTTGTTGGAAATAGGGAAGCCCCCATGTATTTATATCAAGGACATCTCTTTGTGCTTAGGACATCTATCAAGTGTTAATCCATTGCCATCTTCTTTTCAGTAGTAATTGTGTCTTTTATTTCTTGGATTACTGTTAAGAATTCTATTTTCAATACAAAGAAGCATTAACAAATTAGACTGGTATGTTTGTACTGAGCTAGAAATTTCTCCTGGTCTTCCATGTGCTCAATACACATTGAATTAATATGGTTGTTATAGAGCTAAGATTTTCCGTTATGGTTCATGTGCTTTACATGGTGTACCTTTCTCTACCTAACAAAATTGTGTCACATTTTGTGGGGTTCTGCTTCCAGATACTCTTACAGCTAGTGCTGTAATCCTAAAAAGTCGTAAAAGTGCTCCAGATTTGAGGTCTAACAGGCTTGATACCAACAGGGAGAAGATGGTAGTAACGCATCTCCCAAAGTTAACCCTCTTCTTGGAAGCTCATAAAAGCATTGATTAAGCACCTGTTGCATGCAGAGCCTATATACTAGGTACTATGGGAAAATAAGACAGCTTTTTCTTTTTTTAATCCCAAGGAAGTTAGAATGTGATCAAGGTGAGATTACTAACAACCATTCATATATTATTTGAGAAAGTGAAGTGGACAGGGCAATGGGCATGGAGTAAAAAAGAGCTGAGTTCAAATCCAGCCTTAGACACAAGCTGTGTGACCCTGGGCAAGTCACTTGAGCCCTGTCTGCATCAGTTTCCTCAACCATAAAATGAGGATAATAATAGCAGCTAACTCCCAGGGTTGTTGTGAGGACCAAATGAGAAAATATTTGTAAAAGCGCTTGACACAGTGCCTGGCACTATATAAATGCTTATCCCCTCCTCCCCTATTACTAAGTTTCTGTATCACTTTAAGGTTTGCAAAATAGTTTCCTTACCACAACCCTATTAAGCAGATAATTCAGATATGATCTCCATTTTACAGATGAGGAGACTGAAGTTCAGAGTTGCTACAGTCATGTAGCTAATATCAGAATCAGGATTCCAACCCAAATTTTCTGACTCCAAATCTAACATGCTTTTCCTCTTTGACAGCCAGCAGGGCATAGTGGAAAAGGTGCTGGACTTTGGAAATCTCCTTGACTTCTGATATTTACCAAATAACCCTAAGCAAGGAACCTAACTTTTTTGGGGCTCGGGTTTCCATCTCTGTAAAAAGAGGGAATTGGACTAGGTGTCCTGCAAGGTCTCCTCCAGCTCTGATTATATTATCCTATGATCATGTGCTTGTAACATCAAGGGAGGTAAGGTCTGTGACCCAAGTGAGGGGCAGGGTTGAGCTGAAGGCAGCTGCTTCTTTGGTTCTGGTGCAGTATGACGTGTGTGTGTGTGTGTGTGTGTAGGCCTGTGTTACACAGTGTGGTGAAGGACATGAAGTGCCCACATACCTGAGAAAACACTATGTCCCTCAGAAGGTTCCACTTTTCCTCTTAAAAATGACCTTGTCACTCTATTAAAAAGTCTTAGGTACCTCTCTATTGCCTCTAGGAAAAAAAAAACCTCCTCAGCCCAGCACTTAAAGCCTTCCACTGACTTTTCCAAATTTATTTCACATCATTACCCTTCAGGTACTCTACAGCACAGCCACTGGCCTCCATTTGGCTGCCAAAGTGATTTTCCTAAAGTGCAGGTAACGACTGTCACCCTCCTGACTCGGAAAACTTCAATAACTCTGTATCATCTCCAGGATCAAATACACAATCCGCAATTCACCTCTCAAGGCTTTTCATAACCTGCCTCCCCCCCCCTTTTATAGTGTTCTTAACCTTCACACCATCCTGCCCCCCTCCCTCTCCCCAATCCAGCGACAGGATCCTCCATCTCTTGGCTCCAGACGGTTTCCAACCTTCTCCCATACCTGCAAGACTCTCCCTTCTTATCTCTGCCTCCTGACTTCCTCAAAGTCCCAACGAAAATGCCACCTTCTACAGGAAGCCTGTGCCAACGCTCCTAATTTTAGCGCCTTCTCTCCATTACTGATCTCCTATTTATCCTGTGCATAGCTCGTCTGTACATAACTTGTTTGCTTGTTGTCTCCACCTCGTGCCCCCCCTCCCGCAGTCCCCTCATTCCCCCTACCTTGTTGGCTGTGAGCTTCATCTTTTCCCTCTTTGTATTCCCAAACTTAGCACCGTGCTTGGCACACACTGGTCGTTTAATAAATGCTTATCGACTAAAGGTGCTTTCTGAATTTAGCAGTCTTCTGTGCCTTCACCTTTGTTTAGATCAGGGACAGGGAACCTTTGGCCACAAGGCCACATGTGGCCCTCTAGGCCCTCAAGTGCGGCCCTCCAAATGAACCCAAACTTCACAGAACTTCCTCAAAAAAAGCATTTGCTCTGTAAAACTTGGCCTAGGTCGAAAGGCCGCACCAGAGGGCCTAGAAAGCCACAGGTTCCCTGCCCTGGTTTGGACTATCCCCCTTCCCTAGAATGCCCTCCCACATCACCTCAGGCTTTCAGGATCCTTTTCTTTCAGGGCTCCGCTCAGGAAAACCTATCTCTGTTAATTAAGCCTCTCCTGACCCTCTCAGTTTCATTCCTCAAAGCTGGCTCTCTCCACTCCAGCACATAGCAGGCATCTACTATAGGTCTGCTGAATTCATGTTGAATATAATGTATCCTTTGAAGCACAAAAGCTGTTCAATTGACAAACAGAAGTGGATAGAGCTGGCCTTGAAGCCAGCCAGGAAGACTGGTTGAAATCCCATCTCAAATACATAAGTGTCCATGACCCTGGGCATCTCTCAGTGCTCTAGACAACTTTCTCAGGCTATAAACTTCAGAGGAGACGCGGAAGGGCAGTGGGAGGGAGAATTTACACCATTTCCGGGGAGCTCCTTGTATAGGGAAGAAACAATACAATGTGAAATGACCCTTTTCTGGATCCTTTCCTCAGATATCACCCCCTCCTCCCACTTGCTATGTAATACGCTGGGGTCACCTCCAGTGACACAGCAGCACTTCAGCAGCCCAGCCTCGGTGTGTGGGAGGGTCACAAGTTCCCAGGATCACAGAATGGCAAAGCTGGAAGGGGCCTCAGGAGCAATCACGTCCAACACGTCCATTTTACAAAAGGGGAAACTGAGGCTCGGAGAGGAAGAAAGGATTTGCTTAGAGGCACATGGCTGGTCAGGAGAGGCAGGACTAGAATCCAGACCTCCCACCTCCACACAAGTGTTCTTTCTATAATTCACTCCACTACTAAGAGAGGGTCAGGGGCATTTGCGTGGTGTGGACAGAACTGAGAAGTGTAGATTTGGAAAGGGCACAGGTCACCTAGTAGGGCTCCCTTCAAGCCCTTTCCACAACAGGGCTTCCGATTCCTCTTTAAAGATAAATTCTCGGGGCAGCTAGGTGGCGCAGTGGATAGAGCACCGGCCCTGGAGTCAGGAGGACCTGAGTTCAAATCCGGCCTCAAACACATACTACTTACTGTGTGACTCTGGGCAAGTCACTTAACCCCAATTGCCTCACTAAAAATGTGTGTGTGTGTGTGTGTGTGTATTTTCTCCTTCCTGGGAAACGCACAGGTGCCACCTAAAGATATGATGGGTTAAAGCCCATTTTCTACTTCTGCTCCCGGGTCTCTGGCTGGGTACCCTTCCCTAATTTCCTGTTCTCTACTGGTTCAAGAGCTTGTAAGAGCTCAACGAATCCTCACCAGCTCCACTCCCCTCAGGCACTGAGCGGACCGAGATCATCAATTTCAGAGCTGGAAGGCACTGCAGAGGTCATCCAATCCAACCCCTTCATTTTAAAGGTAAGGAAACTGAGGCCCACCGTGGTAAAGTTACCTGCCCAAGGTCCCGAAGGGAAGAACAGGATTCAAAACCAGATTATCTGATGCCAGACTCAGAACTCTTCATTACATTCTAGTGCCAAATCCTGAAACGGGAATCATTGTCATTGAATTTACTTTGGGAGGAAGGGGATGTTTCCATGTTCCTCATGCTTCCCTAGAGAAACAATGAAGCCGTAGCAAGTCAATTACCCAAGCCTGGGAACCTACCTGAATCACCTGAAGACAGAGGACCACCAGAATTAAATGTGGACCATCGAGTGACCTCTGGTCTAACGCAGACTGGGTCTTGGATGGGGTGAGCCTGTGGTTCAGGAACCAATGAACCTCTCTCCTATCTCCACTCCTCAGATATCAACCCTCCCCTCACACTATGATTTCACAAGGAACGCTGGGAGAAGGGGAAAGATCACCATTTGCTTGGTTAGGCTGGTGTAGACACCTTGCTATTCCAACTCCTCTGTGTATTCCACAGAATCACAGTTCTGGAAGGAATTTCCAAAGTTATCTAGTCCACTCCCTTCTCATTCTTAGATTGAGAAACTGCAGCCCAGAAAAGGGAAGGGATTTGTCCAAGGTCCCACAGCCAGCCAGGTATTTTGTTTCTCTCTGGACCTATTTACACTTCATGGGTAAAATGGACGAGTTGGATTGGAAAAATTCTAAGGTCTTTCTAGCTTTGACCAACTATGGCTCCCCGCAGCAATTTCCAAGGCCAGAGCTATTTCAACTCCACCACACTATATTATATTCTCTGCCACATTCCCTTGCTGGCTTCTGTAAAGCGGACGGCATTCACACATACAATGAAAACAAACACATATGCCAAGGTGAGCTGATACTCATGCTTGGTAATGCCCTATAATATTATTCCTAAATGTTGAGGGCCTGAAGTGGAGAGCTGAGCACAGGCAATAAAAAAAAAAAATATGGCCATGGCCTCACTTAAGATGTGTGTTAGTCCTGAAAACCCTCATTGGAGAACAATGGTAAAATGGCACAGCAGAGGGAATGTGCAGCCAGCTGTCTAGGGATGCAGGAAAGGAGCCAAGCAGAGGGTTAACAAAAGATAAATGTTTTAATGAAGAGGAATCATAGAATCCCAGAGTTGGAAGGGTAGAGTCAAATCACCTGCCAGATGCATCAATACCCTCATGTAGCACACATCCCTCACAAGTGCAGCTGACACTTAAAGACCTCCAGTGATGGAGAGCTAGCTACCAAAGTAGCCCATCTCACTGCCATACTGCTCTAATGGTTCAGCAAACTTTCTCAGAGCCCCAAACTGCTTCCTAGTATACTGCCCCCCACCCCTCTCTAGCACTGCTCCTAGTTTTGCCCTCTAAGGCCACGTAGTACGAATCTTTAAAATGACAGCCTTTCTGGTATTTGAAGACACCTGTCACGTTCCTCCTAAGTCTTCAGCCAGAACCTCCCCAGTTCTTCCAAAGGATGTGTGTGTGAGCTCCAAGTCCTCTCTGTCCTTGTCATCATTTGGACATGATTCGGTTTGTCAGTGTTCTAAAATGTGGTCCCAGTCCTGGGCACAAAAAGCAGGCGTGATCTGACCAGGGCAGAGAACCACCTGGACATAACCTCTCTCCCTCCCGATGCTGTGTCTCTATTATATACGTTTACAGCCTAAAGTCACGGCAACATTTGGGGCAGCCATGTCACATTATTACAGCATACTGGGCTAGTGATCCCCTCCAACACTTGGGTTTGTCACATTAATCACATCTCCCCCAATCCTGTACTCATAAGATCATAGGATTTAGAGCTGGAAAGAGATCTTAGAGACCTCATGCAACTAGTTTTTTGAACCCTATTTAAGGACTTGAAAATTATCCCTATTCAATTCCATTCTGTCATACAGGCCCACCATTCCAGCTTGCCGAGATCTTTGAGGGAACCAAATTCCTTTGTCTAGCATTAACAATTCTCTCCTAGCTCCAAATAATTTGATAAGCAGCTCTCTGCTTTAATGCCAATGGTATGAAAGATGGCTCTGAAGACAAATGCATCGTCCAATCTGCCTGAGCATTCAGGATCCAAACTTTTTATTATCAGGGTCATCGTGAAGTCCCCTCCTTGTGGATTGCCCTCCCCACACCCCTAGAAAATCCCAAAGCCCTGCAGTGTCCTGGTCCAAGATATAATACAACTTCTGTGCTCTGCCCAGCCAGTCCCAGGCAGGAAGGAAGGCAGTTAGTTGGGGGACTCGGGGGTGGGAGGATAGGGAGAGATTTCCTGCTATCTGCTCCAGCAGGAAGGTGCCCAGGTGAGTTGTTGAGGGTACCAGGTCCATCTGGAGAAGGGGCTGGCTGGATTTGGCACTGATGGGCGACAGGTGGGTAGAAGCCGTCGGACCCACAGTTTTCCTCCGCTGCCCAGCTGGGGATGATGGCACCTGGGGGGTTGGGGAGTGATGGGTGGTGCCTGGCTCAGGGGGCCAGGGTCAGGGTTTGCCCTCATACCGTCCTCCTCGGGTCAGCCTGCAGTCCCTCCTATCCCGCTGTTAGAATGGAAGATAAGGAAGAAACACTGGTTTGAAGTACAACAGAGCAGTGTGCCTGGAGGATATGAACGCTTCAGGTCCTGTTCAGGGTTTGTCATTGATTGTGGAGAGGAAAACAGAATTGAAACAGGGAGTACCAGGGAGTTTGCAACTCAGTGAGAAGCACATTGAGAAGCCTTGGACCTGGGAATCTGGAGAGATGGCGCTGGGTCTGAGTTCTGGTTCAAGTCATTTTCCCACTCTGAACCTCAGTCTTCTCCTTTGTAAAGTGGGGATAATAATCCTTGGACTACTTGTCTCACAAGACAGTTGTGAGGAAAACAGCTTGTAAACCCTCCAATGTTACAGGAAATGAGTATAGTGGGGAAAGCCCTGGATTTGCAGTGAGGAGAGAGCTGGAATCAAATCCTCTCTCTGATACTCACTGAGTACCCCACTGCGGGTAACCACTTCATATCTTGGCTTCATCTGTAGCGTGGGGAAGTTAACACTCAAAGTGTCTACCTTAGGAGGCTGTGGTGAGGATCAAGTGAGGTGTGGGGAAGGAGCTCCAAAACACTTAGAAAGCTGTACTAAACGTCAGCTAGCATTACTAAACAAGGGGAGCTGGGGTTTATTTTCTCTTTTCCTATGTAGTTTGCTACAATAAAGTGAAAGTGAGATGCCAGGGCCAGCTGAGATAGGACATAAATATCCCCCAAGCAGAGTCAGAAAGACCTGAGTTCAAATCCAGCCTCAGACACTTACTGGCTATGTGTACCCCCAGCAAGTCATTTAACTTGGCTCAGTTTCAGTCTCTTCATCAGAAAGAAAAAAAAAAAAAAGATAAAAATAGCCCCACGGGGTTGTTGTCAGGATCAAATGAGAGAATATATGTCAGGCACTTTTATAAACAATAGCAATTATTTATTAATAATAATAATGGTGACCTAGTGGCACAGCTGAGCACTGGGGAGGGAGCATTGACAATAAGGCATGAGGCAGTGGACGGAGCTGAACCTGGACACAGGAAGAGCTGGGGTCAAATCCTGCTTGAGACATTTATTGTGTGACTTAGCTCCTCTGGGCTTGTTTCCTCCTATGTAAAATGCTCTGAATCTATGATCCCTTCCTGTCCAGTAGGCCAGAGATAGAGGGGGAAAAAATCTCTCCATCAGCGTTAAGATGAGATTTATGGGCTTCTCCTGGTGCAATTTAATGCTTCTTTAGTTGGATGCAAGATGCTGAGGACATTTCATCCTTGGGAAAAGAATCCTGGGTTGCCTAGGGAAGGATGGGTAGTGGGTGGGGAGGGTTAATGTCTTGGGGAAAGGAAAGGGGCATTCTTGGTGGCTTAAGAGGTCCTGGACACCATTTCAAGCCTGTGGAACAAGGTCAGGTTAGGGAGTATAGGGGGAGGCCAGGCCCCAACCCACCAATAACCATTCATTTAACCCACCTTAACAGTCATTCTAGGAAACCCGTGACTAGGGACAAGAGGGAGGAAACTCATTACTATTCCCTGATCAGTGCTGAGAAAACTGACCTCAGGCTAGAGGTCCTTTGATGGGACCCAATAAAACCTCCAGGAACCCAAAGTCCAGCCCACCCACCCCTCCTCCCGATCCTCAGTCCCTCCAAGGCCTCATACCATTTACTGTAGAGTCAATTCATCCAGCTCTGTGTATCGGCTGTTGTCCTGAGAGAGAAAGAAGGGGGGACAATGGAGGGAGGGAGATAAGTTAACACATACGAAGTGCTATATTCAGTTCTGGGTTCATATTTCTGTGAGAGTCACTGATAAGATGGAACACCCAGAAGAAAGCAACCAGGATAGCAACTGAGGGAACCCGGGACTTTCAGCCTGAAAAGTAAAGAACTTCATGGAGACGTGAGCTCTGTCCTCAAGGATCTGAAGAGCTATCACTAAGAAGGGTTAATCTGCACTTCAATAGGCAAAAACAGGACCATGGTGGGGGGTATAGGTAAAAGGGATGTGGGATTGTGGCCTGATATATAAAACAATCGGAGCTTTCCAACAATGTGATGGGCTGCCTTGAAAGATATGGAGCTCCTCAATATTATCAATAATCAAAGAGATACAAATTAAAACACTTCACTTGTTTTTACCAGACTTCATACTCACCAAACTAGAAAAATTAATTAAAAGCAAGGAAACCTAACGCTAGCAGGGTTATGGAATAAAAGGTATCCTCCCCTCATTCACTGCTGGTGGAAATGCGGACAATGCAGAAGCTTTTCTGAGTGCCGTTGAGTAGTATAAAAGTTGTAAAAATAATCCCACTATTGGGAATATATTCTATGAGTGTTACCAAATAAAAAGGCTATCTGTTTAAAGATCATAGTCATAGCAAATGTAATTGTGAAAAACTGGAAATGACCTAAATGCCCAACAATAAGGGAAGAATTCAGTATGAAATGGTCCATTAATATAATGGAATACCACGGCGCAGGTGACACAAGGGTGAAGAATCGAGGGAACTCTGTGAAGATCTTTACACAATAATGCAAAGTAAGAAAAATCAGCGGAACCAGGAGAAGGGTGCACACAGGAACTTTAACCATCAAAGAGAAAAAGTGAATGAGAATGCATGGACAAAGAATCCTGATGAGGGAGCGACTAAAAAGTGATGGTACTTTAGGTGCTGAAATAATTTAAATGTCAACAGTTACTAAGCCAAGTCTAGTTGGTTGTATTAATGTTAAGCTTTTAATAGAACACAGAAAGGAAGTAAGAAAAAAGGAAAAGAAAGAAAAGGGAAAGGAAAGATACTAAGCCTCCTATCACTGGAAGTATTCAAGGAGAGGCTGCAGAATATGGGACGGACTTGAGACTTTTGGAGCCCTTCTAACTTTGACAGTCTATGCTTGGTGAGCAACTCTGGCCTTCGAGCAAAGGAACTACCCAAGGGCAATGCTGTTCTGCTGTTCACATTGGCTATGGATGGTCAGGCAAGAGGAGAGGGGCTTACATGAAAACAGGAGAAATCAGTGCGATACAAGAAAAGATCCCTGACTACCATGACAATGCAATGTCTAGCATAGTGCCTTGCACACAGTAGGTCTGTGATAAACATTTCATAAGAATCTCAGAGCTGGAAGTGATCTTGAAGACCTTAATCCAACCCAGGTACCATCTTCACGTCACCTATGGGGCAGGGTGGGAGTGTTCATCTGGCCTCTGCTGCACTCACTAATCACACAAAGGCAGCTCATGCTACTGCTGTACACTTCACTGGACACATGGGGGCAGCTTCAGACTCTGACTGAGGAGAAACAGGGAAAAACCACGTGGTGGTGGGAAGAGGGTCCTGGAGCTGCCTTGTGTAACCTTGGGGAAGTAGGTCCCCTTCCTCTCTGAAGCTCAGTTTCTTTCTCTGGAAAATGTAGTTTGGCTTAAGCAATTTCTAAAACCCCTTCCAGCTCTGATGTTCTAAATAAATACTGCAGCCTCAATCAAGTCCAGAGTTTAAGTCTGAGGTAGGGGGGCCAAGAAACTCGGGAGGGGGGGGGGAGAAGAGAAGGGTGCCCAAGGTCACCTGGCATACCATTTTGAAAGTGTTCTTCTTAGTAGGAACTGTTTTTAACTTTCGGCACGGCCAGAATTAACATTATTACAGCTGCTTCTAAGTTCTTTCGCATTCTTGCAACTCACAGATTTTCTGAATGAAGTTTAAGTTTCTGCCCTGTTCAATGTGCTATAATAATTTCTAAAAGGAAATTATATTGGAGACTAGGCCTTGGAATTAATTTAAATTAAATGTATACTAAGCAAGTTTCATTGGTTGTCCTGATGTTCAATGTTAAGCTTTTAATAAAAGACAGAAGAAAAGAAGGAAAGGAGATGGCAGCTTCAGGGCCCCTGAGCTCCCCCAAAACATGACTCAGTTTACAATTCCTTGCCCGTTTGCATGTCTGGGCACATGCAGTTTCTAGGTCAGACAGTGAGTCTTTTGGGTGGTCTGTCTGTGTCTCTGTCTGAGTGGTGAGCTCCATGGCTCTCAAGCCCCCAAATTCATGGTCACCATCCCCCAAGCTGCCACGTCCCCACTCCCCCCCCCGAAAAATTTACTTTCTTATTTTGTATATAATTATCTACATACATAGATATGATAATACATAGCTATGCAAAAGCTGGGATTGGGGTTTTTTTGTTCTTTGGGCTGGGAAACAGAGGCAGGGATAAGGGTACACGCTAGGTCCAGGAGCTGGGAGATATGGGCAGGGGCAGGCAGAGGGAAGCAGGAACCAGTGGAGAGCAGGGAGAGGCAGTCTCTGGAATCAATCACTTTCCCCCCACGCTAGATCAAATGGAACCCCTGTCCAAGTGGCTCTTACTAGGGCAAACCTGGGGGACTGAAGGTTGGATGCTCAGGGGCCCAGCTTCTGTCCTCCCTCGACCCTCACCAAATCTTCGAAGTCATCCTGTGCCAGCGCCTCATCTACATCATCCCCAGGCAACAACTCTTCCAAGGGTGTCTCTGCCTCCGAAGCCGTGTCCTCCTGAGCGGCCTCACTTTTCTTGCTGTCATTCTTCTTCTTGCCATCTTGGGGAGTGGAGAGAAGAGGGGAGAAGCAAAAGCTAAGGGCACTGTGGATACCCCTAGGACATCACAAGTAGGATCAAGGAAAGCTTGGCCCACAGGAGTGCCTTCAGACCTCTAGGCACTTGGTCAGGAAACCCTACCCTCTTCCATCATCACTTTCCTCTTGGAAGCCCCTCTCCCCACTAGTGCCAAGCCTAACACTTTGCACACAGCAGGCACTCATTAAAAGTTTGCTGGACCGAACTGAAACCAACCTCAGAGCCTCACAATTTTAGAACTTAAAGGGTTTAGGAGTTGCTTTGAAATATGAAGCTCCTCACCTTGCATGCCCAGAATCATTAGATTATAGACTTAAGAAATGAAAAGATACCTCAGTCATCCAAGGAGGGAAGTGACTTGCCCAAGGTCACAGAGGCAGTAAGTGGTGGAGGTGGAATTTGAACCCAGGTTCTCTGACTCCAAAGCTAAGTGTTCTGTCTACTACACCAGGCTGTCTCTCTCATCCTCAAACTCCCAGCTTCCCTCCCATTTCCCCTTCTTCTCGCTTACCCTCTCCACTTCCCTGGGGCTAAGCTAGGGGAAAAGCCCCCAAGAAGCAGGGATCTAACCTGTGCTAGGACTCTGCTCCTCCGAGATCTGGTCCAGCCGCCCCAGCAGGGCCTCAATGTTGTACTTGATCTGGGTAAGTTCTGTCTTGATGGTCTGCAGCTCAGTACACTTCACTGGAGGTATAAGCACAGGCAGGAGGTTATCAGAACTGTTTTACTAGCAATTTTTACAAGTAGAGGTAAAGGGCTCATATAGGTACAGCCTCCAGAAGGAAAAAATCCAGCCCAGGTCACTACAAAGTTTCTAAACTGTTCAAGGGGGAGAAATGAGTCCTGGGATGATACTGCTGCCAGGGGTAAGGTTTGGCAGAGCAGAAAAAGTGCCCCTGGCTAGTGCTGGGCTCTAAATTTCACATCCCAGTTATGGCTCAGGAGGAGTTTGGGGAGAATCTCTGGGGAAGAATCAGGGCTGGCTGCTAGAACTGGACCAGCCAAAGGCCAATCTCCCCTGGGCTGACCAGTGCCAGGGACTTCCCTTCCCCTCAAGCCCTAGACTAGGTTGTCTTCTATATTTAAGAGACATGGGGTCAGGAAACTGAGATAGGGTTCAAGTTCCCAGTATATGGCCCAGGGAGCTTTTGGACATGAAAGACTAACATTAAGAATCCCCACCAGCCCTCCATGGCCTGTCTCAGCTTACCTAACTAAATCTTCCTGGCTTCCAGACCCTGGGTGAGTAAGAACTCAATCTATACCTTCTCCTTGTGCCCTATCATTATAGTATTTAAGTTATTCCTTATATTTAACCCAATCTCTGACTCATCATAAGTTCACATTTCCACAATGTTTTTAAGTTTTACAAAGTGCCCTCCTCACAATAACCTTGTGAAGCAGGAAATGTAGGGAGTAGTACCCCCATTTTACAGACAGGGAAACTGAGGTCCAGAGGGTGAAATGATTTCTCCAGGGTAGAACACCTAGTAGGACCGATGGGACTCAAACTAAGGCTTCTTGCCTCCCTATCTCAGACTTTTCTGACTATATGCTACTCATGTCAATTTTATTTGGGGGAGCTCTCAATCTTTTCAGCCCCTTTCAGATCTTGTCTCCTCTCTGATGATCTGTCTCAGGGGCCGTTGGAAGTTCCCATAGGGCAATCTCCGGGGAGTTTTTGTGCCATGAAGAAAGGCAAGGAAGTTCCTAAGAGCATTCTAGGGGACAAGCTTAGAGGTGAGCAGGGAAAGGATGCTGAGAGGGAGTTCGCTGGTGTTGAGGGCCAGGAGGTAGGTTCAGGGATCCCTGGGGCTGGAAAGAGGTTTTTGCGGTCTTCAAAGACTTGGAGAGAACTTTAAGGGTCTAACAGCTGCTCCCCACACAATCCCACCCCAAGCCATGGACACTCACACTTTAACTTTGATGAGCTGCTGGAAGTGGTAGAGCGGGCGAAGAGTCTGACAGGCAGAGTTGCTTTGATGCGACGAACGAGAGGGATGGTGACCCGTGGCCGCTTCACAGGAACCACCCTGGGGACTGGAGAGAGCCGGCCCCGGGGCTCGAAAAGCCTGAATTTCAAAACAGGACAGAGACTTGCAGACTGGGTGTCCCAGGCAGCATGTCCCCAGGGTCCAATGGCCAAACCAGAGATGGAGGATGTAAGGAGGACTGGAGGGATGGGGAATGGACAGAATATGGATGAGCGAGAGGGTGGATGGAGGGAGGGAGAGGATCTCGATATATAGTGATGGAGGTTGCATGAGGGATGGACAGAGGGACTGGGGGGCTGGGGAAGGGACGTGGCCACCAAAGGCTGCTACTGCTTCTTAAAGGCCTCTTAGGGGGCCCAGTGGCCTGGACTGTGGCTGAGACCAGCAGCTTGGAGGCTAAAGCCCTATCCTCAACTGCTTTCTCTCTCTCTCATTCCCAGGCAATGGTTTCTTCCACACCTCCCCACCCCCCAGTTCCTCCCAACCCCTGAATCAGGCCCAAGACCTCCAACCTCTGGATGCTTTGCAGCCCCTTAAAAACAGATTGAACAGTGGCCCAAGAAAACGGAAGGCAGATTTTAGAACACAGCAGGGCTCTCAGGTGAGGGGGGGGAAGGGATTTCCGGGGGGCTGGAGGGCGTGTTGCTGTGTGACCTTGGGCATTCTATGAAGCCCTTGAAGCTTTGGTTTTCTCATACATCAAATGGGGAGAGTCCAGCAAGAAATAATTTTTAAAGGCAAAAGGCTCACCTGAGGGCACCCACCTGGAGAAGGGAGGAAGTTACGGGCCTTGACAACCTGTTCTTTCTTCACCCACCCTGACCCCGCTGCCCACCCTCCATTCCCCCATTCCCTCCAGTCTACAGATAGAGAAACTGAGGCACAGAGAGGGCAAGCAACTTGCCTCAGGCCACACAGTGGCTCCGTGGTGGATCTGGGGACTAAGAACCCAGGGTTCACATGCCTTCCCTCGGACAGTGGTCCTGACTGCACTCCTGAGCTGGGAGCCGGAAACCCCTTCTCCCGGGCAGCCAAGAGTAGGCTGAGGCTGAGGCTGGGACTGGGGCTGGGGCAGGGGGAGGAAGGGGAGGAAAGAGAAACAGGGGAGAGGACAGAACTTCAGGCCAAGCATGAAGATCTCTGGTCAGTAATCCCAGTGTGTGAGGGGCAGAGCCTGGTGGGCTTCATGTGGGAGACAGGGCTAGGGAGGGGAGAACGGGAAAGGTCTTCTGAAGGTGCACCTTCAGGGCCTTCTGGTTTCAGAGTAGTCCCAGTACTCTCCCAGCCCTCCACAAAAGTGCCTTCCAGTCATGAAATCCTGACTTTCAATTTAATTCAACAAACATTTAGTAAGTGCCTACTGTGTGCAGAGCTTGCTGCTAAGTTCAGAGAGATGAGGGGGACTGACTCACAGCATGTGGGCTTCCCCTGCCTGCAGTCCCTGGGCCCCACACCCCTCCCCCTTCCCTTCCTGGCGGTCTCCTCTCTGCTCACCTGTCATACAGGTCTTCCCTGTAGTAATCAGAGTCAAAGTCGTAGCCCCTGGGGAGACAAAGGGGAGACACTCAAGGGTTAGAGTCTCCCTCCTGCCCAACGGCTGGTGCGAGCTCATTATCATCACTGCCAAGCCTACCTCCACCTCTCCTGGGATCAAAGCATCATTCTCAGCCTACAGATCAGGAAAAGCTGAGGGAGGGGGAGGAGTCCCTCAGAAAGTTATTAACTTTCCCAAGGTCATATGGCTAGCAGGTGGTGAAGCAGGGACCCAAGGTACAATGAAAGAAGGTGGGACCTAGGATTGGACCTGGGTCCAAATCCTGGCCCCACTCCTAGCAGGTGTGCGGTCCTGGGCCCACTTTGAGCCTTGGTCCCCTCCTCTTTTCACCATGTACCTCACAGGGGTTTTTGTGAGCAAGGTGCTCTGTAAGCCTTAATCTGCTCTGTAAGAAGGAGCTGTTGATAATAGCAAGAGCTAGCATTTCAATAGGTTTGCACTTTCCACCTATTATTTCATTTGAACTTCAGAACAACCTCGTGTCATTGTTATCCCCATTTGACAGCAGAGGAAGCTGAGGCTGAGAGAGGTTATAGGACCTGCCCAAGTAACAGGCGTCTGAGGCAGGATCTGAAGTATCCCAGGTCTCCTGACATCAAGCCCAGTGCTCCAAGTGCTCTACTCTCCTGCCAAGCTGAGTTGTTTTTATCGGAGAGGCCAGCCTGGGTTGACTCTGGCTCCTGAGAGTGGGATACTGACACTGAGTTGCCTCCTGTCACCATCTCAGGACCAAATCCAGAAATGCAACCTGTTCCCCCAAACTGTGTGCTCAGGATGTTACCATCCACTCAGGATGGTATGGTGAGGAAAGCCCTGGATTTGGAATCAGGAAACTGGGTTCAAATTCTGCCTGTCACAGCACCCCGTGACCTTGGCCATGATACTTTATTACTCTGGGACTTGGTCAACTCATTTATAAAATGGTAGGTTGGAGTAATAGACCACTAAGGTTCCTTCTAGCTCTAAATCCTCTGAGCTCCTGAACTCTGCTGTTTACTTGGTACAGCTGGTCCTTTTGCTTGGAAGGCCCAGTCTTTTCCCTCTCAGCTCCCATGGAATCCTCCCCTTTCAGGCCCAGCTCAGCCTTTTCTGATTATGCAATCCCCAATGATCTCTAGGCTCCTCCAGCCCTACCTGGCCTTCTCATTTTGGTAATAGATTATTGCCTTTTTATAACTGTTTACTGGGGTGAGGCAGGAGTCCAGTAAAAGCTAGTGATATTCAAGTGAAGAGTTCACCCCATTCCTTTGTCTCCTGAAAAGAGTGATACTATCTAGGGGTTTGTGGCTTAGTAACAGCAGAAATGGGTTGAAGAGACAGCCTGACTCAGTGAGTCTTCAAAGTTTATCTGGTGATTTAAATCCCTACTTTCCTTCACCCAGCAAAAGCCATGGAGAAACTGAGGCACCAGTGTCTCCCCCAGGGTTTGCTTATGAATGGCTGGATTCTTCTTGGCTTCCTTCCCCACCTGCAATAGCCACCTCTACTACCTCACCTCACACCCTGCAATGAACTCTGTCTTACCCCCAAGGCTGGTGGGGCCTCATCTGGGGGAGAAGGGCAGGGGAGGGGTTCCTATGACAAGCCAGGTAGGATCCCATCTACTGTTTCCAGTGGGAACAGTGTGGTATAGCGTATAGAATGAAGAACCCAGACTCCATTTACTTCTGACACTTCTAGCTATGTGACCCTGAAGAGTCACTCATCTGAACTTTAGTTTCCTTGTCTATAAAATGAGGATAATACTGATGACACTGCCTAGCTAAGTGACCTCTGACAGGTCACTTAACCTCTGGGAGATTCAGTTTCTTCATCTGTAAAATGGGGATAATGCTGTCTGTTTATCCCTGACTCACAGGGTTATTGCGAGATCACCTATAACAAATGCACTACAAACCTGAGTAGTACGACATAAAGGAGCTCTGTCAAGCAGAGTAAGCCTGACCCTTCCTCCACCGGACAGCCCTTCAAGTACATGAAAATGAGCAACCTGGTGGCCCCCTCTTGGCCTCCTCTACAACGCCCTTACTGGCACAGGGTCCAGGCCCTTTGCCATGCTGGTGACCTATTTCTGCTCATACTGCAGTCTAGCAAAGTCTTTCTTCAAATGTGGCACCCAGAACTGAACACATGGCTCTCCGTGTGGGCCCTGACCCATACAGATGACAGGAGGACCATCGCCCTCTTCTTTCTGGACATTATCCCTCTCGCTTCAGTCCATGCTGGAGTTAGTCCCTTTCTCCCTGCAGAACCTCCTCTCTCCTCCGAGACTCTTCTGGGTGTGGGAGAATCCAGCCGAGGCCCTCAGGGAGGAGGAGAGGAACAAGGTATGCACAGTACCTGGCACACAGTAGGTACTTAAGTGTTGTCAGCGGTAGAGGGGGCCTTCAATCTGTGATTTCATTGTGTATATAAAGAAGGTCCCAGGAAACAGTCTAGCAACGATTGTGCAACAAATGGTCTTAGAAAGTTGCCTGGGAATGGTGAGAGATAAGGGATTTGCTAGAGTCACCACAGCTAATCTATGTTAGAGACAAGACTAGAACCCAGTTCTTTCCGGCTCAAAGGCCAACTCTCTACTTACTGGGCCACACTACCTCTCAACAGATGCTTGTTGAATTGAATTGAAGAAGGCACTGACCCCTGCAGGAGGTCACAAGGACCCAGGGACCCGAGCCCCAACTGTCCAAGCCACCCCTTAACTCTCAGACCTCCAGTGCCAGCCCCAGATATATCCGCCAGTTCCTGACCTGGGACACTGCACCAGCAGGCAAAGAGTCCCTCTGTCCTTAGGGCCTGGCCCCACAGACAGACAGACAGGGCAAAGGGCAAACACACATACCCATAGGAGGCAGAAGCTGCTCTCTTGAGTCCTTTTGGTCTATTAGGTTTAGGTTCTCCAGCCATGTTGATGTCTATACAAAGAAGAAGTCAAGGCAGAGGATGGAGTGATGGCACCTGCTTACACGCATGTGCGTGTGCACACACACCCATACCCACACCCACTGAGGCACATCACACCTACATACACAGACAGGGTCTTACACTAGGATTAGAGATGACTTGACTGAACGGAGGCTGCCCTTGCCAATGCCTCTGGTTCCCAGGCCACCCCCACACATACAGGCATCACAAATACAAACTATATATTAACATTCACACACACACACACCCCAAAATCACACTAAGATATGGCTTCGCCCACATACAAGAACTGTGTTTGTGTATACTCGTCTACAAAAACACATTCAATACAGCCATGCTCACATAGCAGATTCAAATCCACAAGTAAGGGCATTCACACATTGAAGTCCCACCCAGACCAGCACATACCCAGGGTGCCTTTTCTGCCAGTAGGTGGCATTGTAGAGCTTGGCAAGGTGCCTGCTTTCACCCTCACCAGCCAAGGTTTTCTGCTGTGACCCATTCCCCTTACCCCTCCTCTTCCATTCCCCGGATAGGTACCATTCTTATCATCAGGTTCTCAGCTTCTCTTGCCTTGAAAGGCACTCTGAATGCTTGTCCTGGGCGGCTATTTACATACCCATGCCACAAAGGCAGATCCTGGGCAGGAGCATCTCAGGAGTAGAAAATAATCAACTGTAGCGGGGCTGACCAGGGAAGGGCCAGGACAGGCATCAATCAACTGGACAAAAGGGGAGGTTGGCAGTTTTTTTTCTCTGCTCTGACATACTCATCTCCAGATTCTCAGGGCTCCCCTGTCCTCTTCCCCCTCCCTAACATCTAAGGGTACATATAAGTAGTCACTGGATTGCTTCATTCAAGAGCATTTAAAATTTTAATTCTAAGTATGTAATTAAAGGTCGAGTCTTTTAAAGGAATTTCAGGCACTGCAGGAACTGGAGGGAAAGGCCTCTCAGAAGCCCTCAAAATCACAACTACCCCAGGTAATTTTTGCTTATTTCACCTATAGGTAAGGTCAGCATTGAGCTTGAGTAAGGGTCTGCCAGAGCCCAGATATTGATGGGGCAGTGGCCCAGTCCTTACCCAAAGTCTGCCCTGCCAGCACTCGCCCGTTCTCGCCCAGCACGGCGGCACGGGCATGGCGCTCGCTAGCATACTGGACGAAGGCGTAGCCCTTGTGCACAGAGCAGCCGGCTACACGGCCATACTTGGAGAAGATGGTCTCTACGTCTGCCTTCTTCACCATGGCTGTGTTTAAGTTCCCAATGAAGACCCTAGAGTTGAGGGACTTGGGGTCATTCTTGTTGGTGATGTTGCTCGTGTGCACTTTCAGAGACATGGCGACGACCTAGAAAGACAGAAACTCAGTGAGGTCACGACACTGACCCACCTGCTAGTCTAGGCCTACATACTTCCCTGACTGACAGAGAGTAAGAAAGTGGGGCCATGATGGGTTCTGCTACCTTATTAATTTCCTTATCACAATGCTCCTTGAAACACCCCTGTGAGGGTGAGTTGAAAATAAAGGGGTCACATCTGGAGAATAAAATTAAGGGGTGAGAGAGGAATATAGTAGGAGAAGGAGAAAGGGAGAGGTAGAATGGGGTAAATTATCCCACAAAAAACAAACCAGAAAAGAAAAGGCTCTTACAGTAGAGGGGAAACAGGGGAAGGTGAGAGGGAATGAGTGAATCTTATTCTCATAGGATTTGACTTAAGGATGGAATGACATACACACTCAATTGGGTGTGGATATCTGTCTTACCCTACAGGAAAATAGGGGGGAAAGGGGACAAGAGAGTAGGGGAATGATAGATAGGAGGGCAGATTGGGAAAGGGAGTAATCAGAAGCAAACACTTCTGAGGAGGGACAGGGTCAAAAGAAACCATAGAATAAATGGGTGGGCAGGATAGGATTAAGGGAAATAGAGTTAGTTTTTCACAGCATGTCTACTATGGAAGTATTTTGCATAACTGCACATATATAACCTATATTTAGTTGCTTGCCTTATCAATGAGGGTGGGTGGGGAGGGAGAAAGGGAGAAAATTTGGAACCCAAAGTTTTAAAAAGACATGTTTAAAAAAATGTTTTCACATGCAACTAGGAAATAAGAAATACAGGAAATGGGGTACAGAAATCCATCCTGCCCTACAGGAAAATTGAAGGGGGAGGGGATAAGAGAAGGGGAGGAGAGATAGAAGGGAAAGCAGACTAGGGGAAGGGGTATTTAAAAGGCATGACATTTTGGGGTGGGGGAGGGGCGAGATGGAGTGAACATTTGGAACTCAAAATCTTGTGGAAGTAAATGTTGAAAACAAAAAAAATAAATAAATAAATTACCATGAAACACCCCTGTGAGGCGAGTCCTAAACACAAGAAACCCTTTCTGAAACCCCAAGATGCTAGTGACTTTCCCTAAGTTACCTTCCCCCCTCAAGTTAGCTTGTATATATTTTGTACATATTTATACATGCACATGTCTCTCACGACAGAAAGTAAGCCTCCTGAGGCCTTCATTATCTTTCCCCAGAACCTGACACAGTGCCTGGCACATAGCAGCACTTAATGTTTGTTGACAGATGGATCCCCATTTCACAGATGAAGAAATGGGGAGCCAGTGAGATGAACTGACTTCCCTGAAGTCACACCATAAGAAGCAGAGGTAGGATTTGAACCCAGGTACTCTGTCTCTTTCCACTGCACCATGCTGCTTTTCACCTTGAGGCGAAGGTGGGGCCCACCCTTTGCCCAGGGCTGCCACCTCCGTGAGCGAGCTCTTCCCTGGTCTAGGCCAACATCTCCTGGCACTGAATTGAGCTTTGATAGAACCACCTGGTCTCCCCAGGGCAGGAGTGTCAGATCCCTGGAGGCTTATGAAGCAACCTTTAACCCCCAACTGGTTCCTGGTGGTCAGTCAGATGGGCCAGAAAAGAAAAAGAGCTTTCAGACAAGCTGTGGGGTCTTAGACTGAAGAGGGTCTTCAGCTTCTTGCGCCTTGCACAACCAGAAATTGGAAGCTTCAGGTCAGAGGCCTGGGTGGAAGGGAGGTGTCTAGCAACAGTGGAGGAGACATAAAAAAATATCAACGACCCTCCAGAAGCTAAAATACTAGTCGGGGAAATAAGACTTAAACACTTGAGAAGTCTGTTATTATTCCTACTAATTGTAAAACTGAAAGTCTTGGTCAATTCAGCCTTCGTAATATCCCTTTTATCTGTGCCTCCCCATTTACACAGCCACCCCCCCCAATTTCTAGACCTTATTAGCTTTCTCCCCACTAGTGAAACGGCCTCCTAATAGGGCTCCCTGTCCCAAGTCTCTCCCCATTCTAATCCTCAAGTGATTGTCCTAAAGCACAGATCTGACCAGGTCACTCTACTGTTCAAGGGCTCCAGTGGCTCTACTGTTCCTAGGAGCTAATCTAACTTTCTCTGGCATTGAAAGCCTTTCACAATGGGCTCTACCCCCGTCCCCCTTTTCAGGTTTATTACACACTACTCTACAATTCAGCCAAACTGGTCTAGTGACCAACCCTCACAAGCCTACTTTGTTGATGCATTAAACAGGACATCTTCCTTACCTCCAATTCTAAGAATCCTAAGAGCACTGAGCCCAGAGTCAGGAGGAACCAAGTTTAAATCCAGTCTCAGACACTTACTAGCTATGTGACCCTGGTCAAGTCACTTAACCCCATTTGCCTCAATTTCCTCATCTGTAAAATAAGCTGGAGAGGAAAATGGCAAACCACTTCAGTATCTTTGCCAAGAAAACCCCAAATGAGGTCATGAAGGGTCAGACGTGACCAAAATGACTGAACAATGACCGAGGTTCAAGTTTGAGTTTCAGTACCAGCTATGGGACCCCAGGTAAGTCAAGTAATGTCTTTGAGTCTCATTTTCTCCATCTGAAAAATGAGAATAATATCAACCTCATCAGGTTGTTGTGAGGAAAGAGGTTTGTAAGTTTAAGAAACTTTAACATTTTAAGGATCTGTGATTTCATAAATAAGGGTACTCTCTCCACCAATACAGACTGCAACTCTGAGTCAGTCTTCATGAGTTACTAAGACTGAAAAAAATTCATTATCTTTTGTCAACTCTCTAGTGATCAGCCTTTCAACTTAGCTAAGAATAACTAACCCACATTCCATCCCGGAGCTTGTCCCTGAAGACTACAATTTGGTAGCACCTTCCTGAGGTAGGAAGCCTTGGAAACCCAGGGTCACTTCCAGGCCAAGGGACATCAGAGGAGGACTTAGAGTAGAGCAATGTTATCATTATTATCCTTCAAAACAGCACTAGCCTCTCCCTGCCTCAAAACCCCAATCTCTGTGGCTACAGGTATCCATCCCTGAGAAACATCATCATTTGGTTCCATCAGAGCCTGGGGAGCCTCTTGACTTGCTACTTCTTCCTGCCCTGCCCCAGCTGGCTTTGCCTCCCAAACAGGCTACAGAATGTAGGAGGGAGAACCAAGCCAGGTGCCTGGAGTCCATTCTGGTCAGTGGCCATCACGGGCTGTTATAGAGGAGGTGTGGAGGAAGAAGAAGGTTATAAAAAGAGAGAGAGAGTCCTTTGGGGACAGAAATAGTCAGACTTGCCACCAGAGTCAACTGATCAAAGAATGTGTGGGCTGAAAGGGACATGAGGAGAGAATGTGAGAATGTTAGAACTAGAAAAGACTTTCCAAGTCAACTAGTAGAACCTCTTCATTTTGCAGATAAGAAAACTGAGGTCCAGGGAGAGGGAAGGATTTTGCTCAAGGTCAGACAATGAGTAAGTAGCACAGCAGGGACTGGAACCCAAATAAAGTTTGCGAAGGACACAATCATAAAAACGGAGACAGACAGACTGACAGATGGAAACAGAATCAGAGACATATTGAGAGGGTCAGAGATGAACAAAGAGAACTATCAAAACAAAAACAGATGGACAGTTAGAGACATGGACAAAAATAGGCTCATAGGATTACAGATTTAGAGCTGGAAGGGACCTTTGAGGTATTTAGTTCAATCCCCTCCTTTTACAGAAGAGGAAACTGAGGCACAGAGATGTCAAGTGACTTGCCCCAGGTAGCACAGGTCGTAAGGGTCAGAGCCAGGATGTAAACAGAAGTCCCCTTACTCCAAATCCATGTTCTTTCCCCTGCACCCCATACTGAGAATTGCATTAGCTGAACTTATAAGGGATTTCCATACATTATCTCATTTGATCCTCTCAACCCCACAGTGAAGTAAGTGCTATTCTGGGGGAGGTGATTTCATCAGGGTTGGGAACTCCCTGGTGTGGAAACTCCACAGATCAACAACACCTCTGCAACCTGAGAAGCTTGTAGAGCTGCCTGGGGGCACTGAGGGGTGAAGAGACTGGTCTGTGATGGGGAAGCAAAGATGTGTCAGAGGCCTTTAAGGCTGGCCCCTCTATCTACTACACCACACTGCCCTCCACTGCTATTATTCTCTCCATTTTATAAATGAGGAAATCATAGCCCAGAGAGGCTGTGACTGGCGCATGTTCACATAGCCAGTGTCCGAGGTGGACTTCAAGCCCCGGCTTGTCCTGACTCCTCATCTCCCCCACCTTCCACGACATTTTGCTGCCACCTGGTTGTTGAACCTCAGTTGGGTTGCCTGAGCCAGGCCAGTGAAGCTCCTTTCCAGTGTCCTTCCAGGGCGATGGAGGCATCCTTATAGAGCTCTGGGGGAATTTACATTTTTCACTGATTGCACAAGGAATCTGGGCCAGGGTGGAGTTGGGGCAGGGAGAGTTAGAAAGACCTACCCCATGGAGGAGGGAGCACTAATGATTCTAATAGCTAAGGGTGATGAGAATCCATTCCAGGCATGGAAAACAGACTGTGCAGAGGCACAGAGATGGCAGTCAGAGTGTCCTTTGAAGGACAGCCACTAGGCCAGTTTGGCTGAACTAGACCTTAAGCTGATTTACACTTCCATAGAACAAATGTTTTTAAATATAATTTATAGCTCAAAGGACACAGCCCATTTCTGCTACAAAAAACTCACCCATTTTCTCACTTGAAATATTTTAGCCATTTTGATGGCAATAATCACCAGCCTGCGAAAAGTGAATGGGGTTTAGTAAGTCAGAGAAGTGGCAGACAGTAACGTGCTGCCCTTGGTGCACATAGAGATACAGTGATGCTCTCCTGGTAGAGCCTGTCTCAATGGCAGAGATGGCGAAGAGTCATCTATAGCAGAGGTGTCACCCATTCGGCCAGCATCGCTGCAGAACCAGATTAAAATGTAACTCAGAAATATTTAACCAAAGGAGGAAAAAAAAGACAGTACAACATAAATAATGTTAATTTGTGATTTTCTAAGTCAACA